AAAGCGGAAAACCCGGAGAGATAAAAAGAAAAGCTGTAAAAGCAGCCAAAGGCATTTCGAGATACTTTACGGTGCATGTTTATTTGAGTGTGTGTATGAGTGTGTGTGAGTATGTGTGTTAGTATCTGTGAATGGCTCGATTCGATTGAGTGCGCATCTTCAAAGGCGTGTGCCTTCCGTCTTCTCCTCCAAACCGAGCCTGCAAGCCTGCAAGCCGCCACTCCCTCCAAACACACAGACACATAATAAACATATAAGCTTTCTTTTTAATACCCTTGCAGAGGGTATTATAATTTTGAAACGCAGTGAAGATTTTTTATTATTTCTATTTTTGAAAAAATAATAAGACATACCAACATTCATAAGAATCCTACAAGGATTGGGAAAGATATAGCCATCACTGTACATATAGCCAACAATCCTTCAGGGGAAAACCCCATTTTCAAGGAGTCCCATCAGAAAAATGGACAAAAAATCTTAAAAATATTTTGTCTCAGGATTTTGATGCGTATCGGTGGAGAATCGATCCACAAATCGTTTAAGATACTCCGCTTGAGAATCGGATCAGGATTGGGGAAGATATAGCCATCACTGTGGGCCCTATAGGGGAAATCGCCATTTCCAAGGGAATTTTTCCATCAGAAAAATGGACAAAAAATCAAAAAAATATTTTGTCTCAGGATCGGATCGGATCCGGATTGGGGAAGATATAGCCTGTGGGCCATAGAGGGAGTATATCCCATAGCTACCTGAACAATCGGAATAATGTGTGGTTTTTGGTAAAAAAAAAATTGAAAATAGAAGATTTTGTAAAGTTTCGTATTCGAAAAAGTTGGTTTTATAATAAAATTTTAATAGGGATCTACTATATGTACATGCGATATTTTCGAATCCAATCTTAACCGCAAGGGTATATATCTTCGACTCCACCCGAAGTTAGCTTTCCTTTCTTGTTTTTTTATTAATTTGCACTTTAATAGTTGTGGGGGCAAAGGGGCGTGGCTGATGGGAAGCAAACATTTGGAAAAACTGCCATTGCTGCCACTTATCGACATGCCGCACACTTGAAATTGAACGAAAGCAAATATTTTTAGTGCAACAGCAACAACAACAACAACAACAACAGCAGATGCAACACCCAACTAATAAAAACCAATGCCACGCCCCTAGGCAACAAAAAAGAGGGAGGCAACAGAAGCCGGGGTTGCGGTTTTTTGAATTCCATATCTACAGTGGTAGTCATAGTGACTAAGGGAAGTGGGTTTTTAACAATGGGTTTCTGGCTTAAAAATTAAATTTAAATTAGTTGCATTATAGATTTCTTAATTTTAGTTATATATTTTAATATTTTTTATTTAATATTTTAATCTTAAAAAACCAGTTAGAAGCTTGCTTCTTCGCAAATCTAACCACCTTTGGCTTCAAATGTATAAATATTTTCATAAAATATGATTTTCTTGGTGGCACAACTATAATACTGTTGCAGCCAGCTGTGGCAGAGTGTGTTGCATACAAAAATATTTGCACTAGGTTGCCGGCTGCTGCTGTCGCTGCTGCCACTGCTGTTGCAGCGGAAACGGAAACATGACACCTGCGCAGCCACACACATACTGGCAGTAAAGGAGGGGGGGTGGTGTCCAAACAAACCCAAACCGAGTCGAGATAAACAGGAACTTATTATGCGAACTCATGCCAGGTGGTTGGGGGGTTGGGGGTTGGTGGGAGGGGTGCAACTGCCACTGCCACTGCAACGCACAACAACTGCAAGTGGCTCGGTTGTTCTGTGCTCTATCTGAAATTACACTGACAACAATGGCAATGGACACCACCCCCTACCCCCTCCTCCAAAGCCAACCCTTCGGAAAACCCCAAATGTCCCGCCACTGTCAGGCTCTTGTTTATTGTTATGTTTGCCAATTGCCTGGTCCTGGTCTGGACCACGCCTTCCGCCCACACCAAATGAGGCATGTGTTTTCACACCTTGACCTCAGGCGGGTGGGGGGCGATTGAGAGATGCTCTCGAAGGGGATAATACCTATCCATGGTATATAGGTTTATAATATATCCTTTTTTTTTTGTCTAAAAACCCAAAAAAGTGTCAAAGATTGATGACTATTCTTTGACAGCTAATACTAATCAGCTCTATAATAAATCTCTATTATCTGTTAGGATGCATGCTGGGAGTGCAGGGCATGCAAAAAAAAGTGTTGCCTACTGTTGGGCGCTGCAGCTTGTCCTTTTTTTTCTGTTTGTTGCAAAACAGCTGTCGCAGCATCATCAGTGACAACAATTTTGTTTGTCTCGCAAATAATTTAGACATTTAGGTGGAAATTCGGGGTTTTAGTGCCGCGTGGCATCTGATAATAAAGCGTGAAAATGCGAAAAACACACCGAGGCTGTGAAATAAAGTGAAAATGGGGCCCAAGAAGGAAATGGAAACGGAAGGCAGGACAGGACAGGACAGGGGCCGCCCCAAGAGGGTGGGAATAAATAACAAAGATGGAAGTAAAATTAAGGGGAAAAACTTTTGGTAAATTAAAGCCAAACAAACCGACAAAATGCCAGCTGCACATGAATATATATTAGAATTAATGCATTTCGTCAACATTTTGCTCACAATGTGAGAAAAAGATGCCAGCAGAGACATAAAACTCATACAAGGGACTCGTCTGCCAGAGACTCTCGGCGTATTCTGGAGAATGCAAATCCACTCGAGTGTAACGACAAAGGAAAAAAACAAAAAAAAAAGAAAGAATTCATGAAAATGGGTAGAAGAAATAAAATGGAAACCATAAACAGACAAAGTGTCTCCCCAGCCAAGGGGAACGATGCCCGAAAGTATTTCACATTAAAGTAAATTAGTTAAATTAACTAGAAATGGTTAGAAGACTGTCTTCTGGATAAGGAATGGAATATCTTTAGTGCTCAGACTTGACTCAGATTTTCTTATAATTTTCATTTGTCATTTGGAAGAATCCTTTGTGGGATTCCATTTTTTTGATTGAATTTCTGCCTCAAGTGTTGGCCAACAGATATGAAATAAAATATATAAACTCATGGCCAAAATGAAAATGGGGGCCATAAGCCAGCTAGAAAATTAAAAACTAGCGCCAAAGGCAACGACAACTGCATGCCTTAGTCCTGGTGCTGGGGAAGCTTGGCTCTTAGTCGCATTGGGCATGGCCAACAATTCAACGCCCTCTATGCCAGGCCAACCAGCCAGAACCCTTCCCTTCCCTTCCCTTTCCCATCCTTGATGCATGTTTTCATGCATTTTTAAGCAGCCATTTGTCAAGCGCGTGAGCTCCAAACTCACCAAAAATGCTCTGTGTGCCGAGCAGGTTGAGTCCAACACTTGAAAAATAGGCATTACAAACTATAGAATTTGAGAAAAATGATTAGGAATTATTTGATTTTTATTAAGGACCAAAAGTCATTGGATGTACCGGGTATCTCTATAACTAAAGCATGCTTTTTACAAAAAATATAATATTTGCTATTTATTGTTTTGTTTTTTATTTAATAATGTTTAATATTGTTTTTTTTTAACAATATTTTAAAAGGTATTACTTATTTAAAAGTTTTCTACAAGAAACAAAAAGTATGAGGCAGTACTGAGTATGAAACATTGACCTAAGCATGCTTTTCTTCAAAGCATGCTTTTTATAAAGAACTACGTCCTTTAATAGTTTTAAAATCAAATTTCAAAAAGGTTTATAGAAAATATTGGACGTCTATTATAAAGATATATAAAGAAAATAAAGGGTAGCACACATTCAGAATCCTTGACTTAAGCATGCTTTTTCTCGAGGCATGCTTTGCATAAATAATGAACTATGAATTTTTATATTATATCCCAACTATAGACTAATTTTTCCAAGTGTATGCGTGTGTGTACGTGTTCCAAAAGGTGTCTATGTGTGAGCAAGTGTGGGGGTAAAACTTTTAATTAACTAAAATTGAGGTGCCTCAGCCACAAAGAATTTTTTTTTTTTTTTTTTGACGCTGAACACTGAACCCTGAAAGGAAACCACGCCGAAGTCAAAGTCAGACCAGCAAAAAAAAAAAAACTCAAGAGCCTTTTTACCTTTTTTTTTTTTTTGGAGAGGCAGGCAGTCTGCCAACCTCTGATAACCCCCCTTGACACGTCTACCCGCCTATCCAGTTGGCTCGAAAAAGCGAAAACTTTCGACAGGCAAAGTACAAGATACTTAAGGCAACTGGCAAGTCAATTCAAACACTTCCAGCGACTCAACAGATCAAAATCGCGTGTGTCGTTTTCGGTGAAGGCTCAAGCCAAGGGGGAGCCATGGGGGAGGAGGGGCTGGGAAGGCACTACCTAAAAAGCCATACTAGAACATGGCCCGAAGGCAGGCAGAGCCAAGAACATACATATTCTGGCAGTGGAGGTTGCGGCACACCAGCAGCGGCTGCTTTAAATTCAAGTTGTGCTTTTCTAAGCAAATATCAAAACGAAAAAGAAGTATTCTTAACTCAGAACTCCATTTATTATTGTCGTTTGGTGGCCATTATTGGCAAAACTCAATGGAAATCGCATTCGAATTCCATAACTTCTTTCGTCTTTCTGTTGATGTCCTCCATTAGGGATTGGGTTGTGGGTTTCCCTCACTGGGTAGTACGGCGACTTGCCTGCTTGGCGACCTCTTCTCCAACTGGTGCATCGACTTCCTCATCGACCAGTAGCCGATACACTTGCAGGCAACTTCAATGTCCAGTACCTGGCGAAGAACCACCATCAATGTTGTCTTCACCATCTTGGAAGGTTGTCGTTAATTTTTTATATGAATTTTGTTGAAACTTTTTCTCAAAAATTATTGGATAGTTTGGATTATTAGTTACTTTGGACTTTGGGGTGTCCGATGGGTTGTGTGTTTGAGTTGAAAATGACTGGGAAACGAGGGAAGCTCTAGGAACTAAACAGCCAGGCCTACTTTGCATCCATTTAACTAATCCAAATTTCTTTAAAACCTTTCTTGCAGATTCGGAACTAGAGGAGTTTGAAACACCGGCCAGGTACAGGCCCGACTCGCTAAGTGCCCTCAGTCGGGCCACCCGATTCACGGAGGACGAGATCAAACGAATTTATAGGGGATTCAAGGCCGAGTGCCCCACTGGCGTCGTCAAGGAGGATACCTTCAAAGTGATCTACTCTCAGTTCTTCCCACAGGGAGGTTCGTGCGGTACAGTATAATTTGTTTCGTTAACATTTCTGACTTGATTAGTGATTTACTAACGCCTGCCCTTACTGTATTGTTACTGCTCTAATCTGCATCTGCGCGATAACGATATCGATAGCTAGCTAACAATATCGATAGCGATTGATCACAAACACGAACTAATCAGAAAAAACAGTCATCCCACCACCACCACAACAACAACTAATAGCCCATCGAGTAGTTCGAGTTGCTACATTGCCGATCTAGATTTACGATCATGATCACGATCACGATTTGATATATCGATCTCGATGTGTGTTCTGTGTTCCAGTTATCGTGTCTTTAAATGTTAATTGTTATATAACTTTAGTGCATAGTACTTGGTTGTGTTTATGTTTGATGTTTGGTGTTTATGTTTATGTTGCTTGTGTGAGAGTGTGTTTGAGTTTGTCTTATAATCCTGACCCCTGACCCCGAAACTTTATTTTATTGATTTTCTTCTTCAACTAAGAGTCTTGTTGAAATTTTAAAGTATTCTCCTTTAAATTTGATCTCCCAGTTTTTTGTTTTCCACACTTTACGAAGGCTTCTTCGATTTTGTTGGTTGAAGCGCCATATTGTCTCGAAGGACCATCGAAAAAAAAAACCGGAATCGAAATGGAAATGAAATTAAAGCCCTAGCACAGGCTCTGGCAGGGCTGCGATTAGTCGAAGGACCACAAAACAAATGGCAATTGGCTGGAGATTTCCCAGCGCCATTCTCTGGTTCTCTGATTTTTTGGAGCACTTATCCAATCCTCCTCCTCTGCTGGCCAGAAAGTCAACTCCAAGTCGAAAGCCATTGATAAAAATGTATGACCCCCTGGGCCGTAGCCCCAAAGAGTTAAAGAAAAAAATAATAATGGGAAGGAAAGGGAGGAAGACGACCAAGACGAGGAGGAAGGATACTGATGCTAATGACGATGTTGGGCCACATTCAGGAGGGCAGAAAGGCGACTCTTTGTTTGCCGGCCCTTGGCTTGTAAAAATATGAAATGCAGAAAGCAAATTAGCAAAAAAAAAAGTATAAAAAGCAAAATCATGTTTCACAACTCGCGCGCTCTTCTGTGGGGCCGCCGCCGACGCCGTCGTGGTGGAAGGATGCTGACGCAGCCAAGGGGGCGTGGCAGTCAAGCCACCCACTTGACCTCGTTTGAACAACAAGTGAATTCTGGTCTCTTTTTTTTTTTTCATTCGTTTTGGCTTTCTGGGTTTCGTGCTTGTGCAAAAATTTACATTTATATCTGGAAAAGCTGGAACTGAAGATGAGACTGAGACTGAGGCGACTCTCGGAAGGGTCAGAGAGGCTAAAAGGGTATGAATTCCGCCAGTGACCATCCACTAACTGAATTGCTGATAGATTACTGGCAAGGGTTGTAATAAGGGGCTGGCAAGGGATGTCAAAAAAACGTGAACAGAAAAGTTTGCCAGAAAAGGTAAATTAGCAAATTGCAAGCCAAAAGTATGGGGGGGGAGGGGAGACTTTTGTCCATTTTTAGAACAGGGCCCTCAGGGGGATTACAAGGCTTTATTTTAAGCGGAAAAAGGCTTTACTAATCATGGGAAGTAGGCATGATTTGTGCAACAGACTTCCTTGTAACAGGACTAGAAAGGGTTAAGGCTCTAGAGGAGTATCGGGTATCATACAGGCGTGCTTTCTTGAGGTCATAAATTGCCAGTGCTTTCAGAATACACATGTTTAGACGCTGAATTATTATAATAAACCTATTTTGAGGGGGGAACAATAATGGGCTGGATATGTCGGGGCAGGACCAGGACCAGGGACAGGGACTGGGACAGGGAGGATCTCGGCGCCGTCATTGACGGCCGGAAACAGAAACAGAAATTCGAAATAAGAAATTCCCAGTAAACATGGAACTTATTTCCTGCCCCTCACCGACTCCTCCTCCACTACCACCACCTCCTCTACCTCCTCCACCACCTCCTCCTCCACCACCCCCTCTCAATCTCTCTTATTCTTCATCATGTCTGCCGTTATCTGATGAAAAATAAATAATGAAATCATTTTTTATTTTGATAAGCTGCTTTGCCCCCCCCACCTCCCTCCCCCCACACACCACCGCCATGAACACATACAGAGGAAAAAAAAACCCATCATCAAAGTTGGTGATTTATCACATTTTTCCCCACTCTTCCGCACCTCCTCCCTTCTCTGTATTTTTTTTTGTTTCTCCAACAGACTCCAGCCCTGGGGTTTCTTGGCAAATTTCTGCGCAAATTTTATAACAATTTTTACATGGCACATTTGCAGTCATTTTTGATTTGTTCCTGCGAAAAAAAGAAAAAAAAAAATGCGAGAAGCGAGCGATTTCCTGGAAGCAGATGCCATCTTTTGCCATTCAGCTTTGACCTTGCTTAGCCTCCTGCCCCTGGGTGTGGCATTCTGCGTCATGCGTCATAAAAACACATTAAGCATCAAACGACGACAATAAATTTGGACAAATAAATTTATACACTTGCTCGGTACGTGAGAGCTCGTCTTTAAAGCCAAATGGTAGCTGGCAGTTTTTTCGGAAGAGTTTCGGAAGAGGACTCTATGGGGCCTTGAAGGAAATGATAATAGTTCGGGGAATTCGATGGAAAATATGGAAAAAAGCAATAATGACCAAAAAAAAGCATGCTTTTTATCTTGCAGAGACTATATCTCGGTCAATATTTGTTTGATTCTTGAAAGATATGACTTAAATTATGTGTATTTATACTATTTATTATTCTGCCTAAAAACATAGAAAGAAAATTCGAGAAAATGAATTTTTGAAAATTTATCTGAAGAAGCCACTTTGAAATTTGGAAAAGGCATGGAAAGAGTAATCTTAGAGAAGGCTATATCTTTGTCAATATTAGTCAGATTCTTATAAGGTATGGTTTGTAGGTTTGGTTTGTGGATAGATTCTTTACCATTTTACAATAAAACATAGAAAGGAAGTTTTGGTCCTTCAAGCAAAGACTTTGGAAAAAGCATGCTTTTTATCTTGCAAAGACTTGGTCAATATGAGACCGATTATTAAGCGGAATACCTTAAATGATTTGTAGATACATTTTCCATTAATCAGCATTATAATCTAGAGACAAACTTTTTCATTGGATTCCCTGAGGTTTCTCTTGGAGAATCCCTTGAAAATTTGGTTCTAGATTGTAGATTCTAGAACCAGGACTCTTTTTCAAGGAAAAGTCCTGCCCACAATTGAATTATCAACTGGCAACTGTAAATGCAAGAAAATGCGTCAATAGCCCCGCGAACTTTCGCTTTCACTTTCACTTTATGGCAGCGAAATTCGAGGCAAGGCTCGGCAATCGGATTTTCTGGGCATCAGGCCGGGCTCTCCGAATGGCAATTGATGCGATTTTATGTACTGGCTCTCGCCAAAGAGGTGTAAACGTTGCCAAGAGCATAAACCCCAAAAAAAAAGTTCGACATCAGCAACAGCAACAGGGGCAGGAGCAGAAGCAGGACCAGGACGAGGACCAGGACCAGGACGAGGACGAGGGAAAAAGCAACATAAGGTCGTAAACATAAACGCGAATCGTAAAAAAAAAGTGAAAGAGCACATGGGTGGGGTTGGGAGGCGAGTGCAATAATCAAAACGTTATGTGATGGCCAAATAAAGAAATTTTTTTAGACGATGTGGGAGGGGCAAGGACATAGCCAGGACACTAAGTGCGCTAAGTGCTCTTGGCAAAAGTCAGATGCAAGATAACAACAACGCGGGTGAAAGTCCCCACGAACTGGGTTCGACTGGGCCGACTCCCCCGGCTCTGCCATGCTGTGCCATGTGTGTGTTTGAGGGGAATTTTCGGTTGAAATAAAAACACCAAAGATATAGCCTTCTTCAAGGCTCCCTCCTTCTGGCAAGGACTCTCATAATAAATAGTTGATAGAAAACACAAAAAAAAAACACACCTTAGATGATAAAATTCCAAAGGAAAATATCCACGGTACATGGCCCGGCGTTGAACTCCTTCTGGGAATTGAAAACTGCTTCTCGAGAGCAGTGAGTGCCTGGGGAAAGTTGGGAGAAAGCGCGGAGAAAGTGGAGAAAAGAGAGCCAGAGCTTATCAGTAGACGCAGGAGACACTCGCATAATTAGTTGCAAACTGAAGCAGGTCCTCCCTCTCTCGAGAATAACTTGGGGAGTCCCGCAAATGTTTCACAAAAACAAAAAATTGTTGACTTTCTCTTTTCGCTTCTCAGATAAATGGAAGAAGGAAAGGCCAACGGAAAACACGGAAAAACTTTTGCGGTTGACTGAAAACTGAAAGAAAAGCGAAAGTGAAAGTTTTCCAAGACGAGGACTAGGACAAGGACTGAGACTGAGACAGGGACTGGGACTGGGACTGGGGACCCACATAAAAGTTGTCACCGAAAAGTCCAAAAACTTATATCTCTATTCCGGCCAACTATCGAGCCATTATCGCTTTTGGTTCACTGAAAGAAATTAATTAATAGTTTATTTTAAATAATATTTATATTAATATTTATATTCCTTATAATTTTGTGAGCATGTAGCGTGTGTGTGTGGCTTATAGAATTAATTATTTTAAATTTTAAACCAAAAAGTTAATCGCTTCTGTTGAGACCTAATTGGTCAACTTTTGCCAGCTTGCAGTTTTCTGCTGGAATTCTCTCATTTAACGCTCTTCTTCTCTTGTTTTCATTCAACCAAACAACAACCAACAACAACAATAATAAAATGGACAACGTACAACAACAAACCACAACAAAAATAGCCAATCCAACCCTATACGCACACTATGTATTTAATACACTGGATCAGGATCACAGCGGCATTGTCAGCTTCGAGGTGAGTGGCCCATATATCCTTATACCCATACCCAGTTCTTATCCTGTTTGTTTTTTGTCCTTGTCCTGTAAGCCTTTTGTAAAACGTATTAACTTGGCTGTAAAGGTATATTGGGAGTCCCATTAAGAGCCACAAAGCGTCCCGAAAATATTCTCCCTAAGGAAGTAGTGGCTGGGAAATTAATCCATTACCAGGAATAGTCTTTCAAGCAATGTTTGTGGCAGTGATGAGCAGTCTTTTTTTGGTTAAATTAGACTTCAAAATATGTATTTGTTTTCTAAAGGAATCCTAATTATATATCCCCCTAGAAAATCTATAAAAATTATCTATAAGTCTCTTTCTAGAGCCTCATCACTATTCCTTATTTTTGCTCAAATTCCGCTTCAAGGACAGTGGCCAGAGACGCCATCAGATATGTAATGGGAAACATTCGGGCAGCTCATTTCCGTGTGTTCAGAGTCCTCTAATGCGAAATGGCAATTGGGATTGGGTCATCGACCAGCTGGAGGAGGAAATTGAGAAATTGTCTCACGACTCGAGTCTCAGCAGCAATCCTACAACAATATGTGGCATCAAGGCAGGACAACCTAATGACAGGACATTTGTTGTCCTCATCGTTAAAGACCTGTTGCTTTCAAGGTCATTCAGGGTTGCATCTCTTGATTGTTTATCGAAGCTTTTGCCCGATAACCAGCTACTATCGTTATCGATAATTAATCTTTGGCTCACAAATGCGTAGATTTCGAGTGCGGGCACGAACAGTTCTATTTAATTTACTCAGTGAGCCTCTTAATGTCCAGACGATGATGTGGCAGAACAAACAGAAAATGTTGAGGTCACCCAATGAGTGGGTGGTCTGGTCTGGGTGGGAGGCTTACTCGAGGCAGGAGACAGGCAGGCAGTACGATGAAGCAGACTTAAGTACAATGAAATTACGTTAGACGTTTTAAGTATAAAATATGGCCGACAGCCGAGTCGAGTTGTGTTGGCATAGGTTTTGGTTAGAGGTGGTGGTGGTGGTGGTATACACTGCGAGAAAAACTCGACAGCCCTTGGATTCCCTTGCTCCTAACTGCCAGCTTCAATTAGTGGCTGGCCAGGCCGGCATTCCCGCCGTGCAGCTAAGAAGCAAAAGTTGTGTGGCATCGTCAGTCTCTAAATGAAGCTGATTTAGTTGGGAGGTCCTGGAGGTGGCGCCAAATGATGCTGCAAAATGCCAAAAAAAAAAAAGAAAAGGAAAACCAAAGAAATAACTAAGGAAGACAGGCAACAACAAAAACAGTTAAGAGCCAAGGGTCGCAGGATCTGGGTACTGTGGGTACTTCTTCTTCTCGGCCTGGTAAGCGCATTTAGTTACGGTTTATTAGTGACAGCAGCCAAGGAGTCGAGAACAAAGGCTGGTGGACTCCGGACTTGGAGAATCAAGAAACAGGTCCCTTCCAGATAGATGCTTAAGCGCTCTATTAACTGCCGCAGCACAAAAGTTGTAATAAGCAAAGTACACAACCTTCCAGCATAATCGGCTTTGGCACCAACGCAGGGAGGGGATGGGGGTATGGACCCCCCATCTTCACCCCTAAAGGACCCCTTAAAGTTTTGGGTACTTCGGAGGAGAGTGAATTCAAATTGAGCTGAAAAGCAATTAAATGCCGGAAAATGTTTGGTAATAGATGAAGGAAAATAGATGCAAGCTAGATGATAGGGAAATAATAATGTCCTAAGAACTCTGATAAGTAGCAACCATTCTTTGGAATTTAAATAGATTTTCAAGAATTTAATGAAGCTATTGCCATAATTTATGAATAGTTTCTGAAGCTTCCACCCAGCTGCTATTTTCCCACTGTTCCCTGGCTTCTGTTGTGCACTTTCGCTGCGGGGCTAAAAGTGCGGATTGCAATCAACCGAGAAAAGCAGAAAGGGGGGGTCATCTCCCACTACCACTCCCACTCCCCAAAAAATAATGCGCAAAAATTCAGAAATCAAAGTGAAATGTCTCGAAATTGATATAAAATGGCGGGGGCGGTTGGGATGGGGTTGGGATGTTGGGAAATTCGCGTGTTTCGCTGCTGTCGCCTGTCATTGTCAACATTTCTATTGCAGCCAGCGAAATGCAAAACAAAAGACCGGAAAAACTCACTACATTTTCGCCGAAATCGAGAGGACAGCGAACAGAGAAAGAAAAAGGGGAGTTTAGTTCTACCAGGAAGAAGATTGTTTCTCAGAGAAAGGCTGAAGAACTATAGGAACTATTGTTTTAGAAGATTAGCTTATTAGGAACCTCTATTTTACATTTAAAACCACAAACCTAGCCCCCTGTTTTTCTCACTGTACTCCCCCTGTGGCGCATGCAAATTGCGAATAATTTTTTTCGCCTTTTTGTGCTTTTTTGAAAGAACTGTCTTTCGACTGCCCCTGCTATGTCCGAACATGAACTCTACTTCCGGTGCGAAAAGGAAGACAGCAACTGAAGTGGGGGCGGGAGTGGGAGTGGGGGGCTATGCAAAAGCAAGGACACACTCACAGGACTATACACTGCCATTCTGATACAGACAGCGCCATTGAAACGATGAATTATGGCGATTTTAACGCCAACTTTGTCAGTGTCCCGAAACGTCAGCTAGGGGGCGGGGGTCAAGACAACACAGTCACAAGTCCCACCCGCTAGAGGGGGTGAGGTCTATACGCGAGACGCGAAAAACCCAAGTTAAACAATAGAGTTGGTGGAGGGTGGGGTGTGAGTTATGGGATGAGCTAACATAGAGGGGGCCTTGAGTTGGGGGAGGACCAGTGATGAGGTTTTACTCAGAAAAGGTCTTAGAATGGAGGTTTCTAAGGATGGGATGGGCTTTGTACTTAAATACCAGGTACTTATTTAATACTAGATTAGTACTTAGTGTTAAATACTAGTGAATACTTTAAAATACCCTAGTTAAACAATAGAGTTAGGTATGGAGTGTGAGTTATAAGAAAGTGGATGGTCATGTGTGATGAGATTCTTCTTAGAGAAAGTCTTAGAATAGAAGGTTTTTGAAGGTTTTAAAGATGAAATACTTTATATCAGATACCTATTTAATACTAAATAAATACTAAATAGTATTAAATACTATTGAAAACCCTAGTTATACAATAGAGTTAGGTGCGGGGTCTGATATCGGGAGTGAGGTAGATTGAGGTCTTTTATGATGAGGTTCTTCTTAGAGAAAGTCTTAGAATGGAGGGTTTCTCAATCCTGAAAATCTATTTCGTACTACAAATATACTAAATATTAAATACTATAAAAATACTGTATAAAGATATACCACAACTTGATATCAAAAGTCAGAACTCCAAGCTCTGAGAATCAATATTGCAATCTAGCCAGTTGTTACTTTCCCAGGACTCTTCACAAAAGGATAATCGCAATCGCGTCACATGTCCATCTCTGGAAATTATACACACGCACACCCACACACACACACCCCTCTCCCTCCTCCTCCTCCCTGCTACCACCACCCACCCACCGGAAAAGCTTATCTTTGCGAGCATTTGCCTTTTTGCCTGCTCGCCATTTTCGTTGTTGAATAATGACCTCAAAATTGTAATGACTACAAGGCACGTACTCGATATAAAGCATGTACAAAGAAGGTCCTTCCCCCCCTCCCACTCTCCCCCCAACCCTAACCACCATCAAGCTTCCATGCCTAGTCCTTGTTGGTCCTGCTTGGTAATTCCCTAGTTTTGTATGTGACGGCCTGACTAAGTAGACTTCCGCTTTTCAATTAAGTTCCACATATTGTTGCAAGGTGTTTTATGCGCGATTTGCATGACAGTCGCGTTTATTAAACTGCCAACGAGAGTGGAACGACAACAGAGGCGCAACAAAAACCGTCAAAAGTAATAGCTACAACAGCAATACCTCCAGCCATACGGAGAAAACAGCAAACCTGTCATGGCCACATTGAAATTGTGGGCAGGGCCAATATGGCCAGGACTGGGACAGGACTGGGACAGGACACGGAGTCAGGAGGAAAAGCAAAGAGTGTGTGACCTGTTTACGCTGTTACGCTGCCAGAGAAGATAAATTGCTCGAGTGTGCGAGATAAAAGCACTCAATGGATGGCAGCAAAATTCAGGGAGACATGTATAAAATATACATATATACAAAGGGGGGAAAGGGAATCCCCTATGATTGCTAGACAAGTCGGGCAGGGCAAGGGATTGTAGCCGGGCACGTCCAAAAGCAAACCGAGGCCCTCAAATAATGCCAAAAAGAAAATTGCACATTACTGAGTTGGAAGAACTGCGGCAGAGTCGTTAAAACCGAATACCGTAAGAGATTGATTGGATTCTCTGAAAATTAATATAAAATAAGAACCCAAACCTGCTAGACTTGCTAGACTTTAAAGAAATGAAGTACAAACTTAAAATCTAGGCCAAAAGACAACCCGTCATATTTTTATTCACTTTGCTGGCAACTGCTTTTGGCCAGCTTGCTCCTCTCTGCAATTTGTCTACGTCGAATACCCGAAACTTTCTTGCACTCCCACGTCGTCTCTATCCGGTTCTATTCCGGCTTGATAAATTAGTTGGACGCTGCAATTGCCCAAATGGCCAGAACAAGACACAAATGATGCCTTGTGCCTTGGACTCCCACTTTATCTGCTCTGCTCTGGTGGCCATTACTTTGCTTTTTTGCAGGTTTTTTTATGAATTCATATTTATACCCGGTACTACCAGCAGACTCCAAGGGTATATTCAATGTTTCTCAAGCGAAAATTATTCTCAATTAGCATCGCACAAGTACCAGGTATCCATAGTCATAAGCATTCTTTTTGTGATTTTTTTTTTTGTGATTCGTCCCTGGAATTCCAACATTTCTGTATGCAAAAGCAGGACTCAGTTTGCCTGTCAGCTGCGGCCTTCCAAAAATGCCTCAACACCTCCGGTGAAATAAAGTGGGGCAGGCAGGCAGGCAAGCAGGCAGGCTGGCTGGCTGGCTGGCAGGAAAGGAAGTACACGTACCACCGCCCCAAACGCCTAGCCTCGCCTCGCCGAGTTGTAAAAAGTTTAGCCCCATTCTCTTTTCAAGTTCTTATCTAGGTACATTTGTCATACAAATGTTAGAAATAAATGTCCACTTCAGCAGCAGCAGAGGCAGTCAGAGCAGGAGCAGTGCCATCAGCCGGAACTTGAAAACAATGGTGGGCGAAATAATAGGTTAGGTCCTTAGGAATAAGCAATTCTCAAAATGGTTGAAAATTAAGAAAATTAACTTAAAATGGTTAAAAAGTTTTAAGGTTAAGAAGGTCTTTAAAAAGAAACTTGGATCTTCAATAGTTCTTCAAGTGCGACCATTTCTTACTAATTTATGGACAATGGCCACACTGCTCTAAAGAAGCTTTTTAGACTTCTTGACTAAAACCCTTACAAGTAGTGATATTCGTTTATATAGTGAGCCTAAATAATAATAAAAATAGATAAATACATAGGCAGAATATTAAGAACTATGAATAGTCTATTGATCCTTCGAGTGCGACCTTCTCTTCTCATTTCTTAGACAATGGCCACACTATTTTAGAGAAGAAGTTTTCGACTAAACATATAACCTAATTTGTTAGTTAATTTAAAAAGCTAATGAATGAAAATAGTTTATAGATTGGTTATTGGATAGATTGGATTGGTTTTTATTAGTCCTTCAAGTGCTACCATCTTATACATCATTTTACAGACAATGGCCACACTCTTCGACTAAAATTCTAACCTAATTTGTTAAATAATTTCAATAGCAAAAATAAATGGTTATAGTTTATTGGTCCTCTAGGTGTGACCATCTTCTATTATTTCATAGCCAAAGGCCACACTGTTTTATAGAAGCCGTTAAAAATATTCCAATAAATTCTTAGCTGGGATGATTATTATTTATTATAATTAATTTATTTTTCCAGTGTGACCATCTCCTAAATATTTTTCAAAGACAATGGCCACACTATTTCAACCCGAGTTGTATTGCGCACCATTGCGGTTTACAAGCAATTTCTTGAAACATATTTTCAATTTCTTTTGTACCTGTAATTCCGGGCTTTTTGCCACCTTCGTTATCACCCCTGCTACTTCCGTATCTTCCGGAGGCCGGCGTCCACCGCTTTTTTCTGCTTATTTATGCCAACTTATTTCTCAATGTTACCTCTCCACGCAGGACTTTGTCCAAGGACTCTCGATACTTTCGCGCGGCTCCGTGGAGGAGAAGCTGCGCTGGACCTTCTCGCTGTACGACATCAACGGCGATGGCTTCATTACGAGGGAGGAAATGACTGACATTGTGACTGCCATATACGAGCTGATGGGCCGCCTGCCCGACGAGTGCCCCGAGGAGGAGAAGATCAAGGGCAAGGTGGAGCAGATCTTCCAGGTGAGTCCAGTCCTACACACCTCTCTGGTGTATAGTACGTATTTATTCCATCTGGCAGACACAGATTGGCAGACAATTCGCTGCCATTATTTATGCTAATTATGGGCACTCGTAAAATTAGAATTTGACTCGCCCGTGAACATGAAACTTATTTACTTTGCATTATGCAAATTCCAAATTGTCTATTTCAATTTGCCGGCCAACAGAATCCTGGTCCGTATCCTGGTCGTGATGGAAGGGGGGTGTCCTTTTTGGCTTGCCAGTCACGCATTGTCATTAGCGGTTTCTGTTCCCGCTCCGAATAAATTGAGTTGTCCTTGACGAGGCTTTAATTTATGCACAGAGTCCTTATTCCAGATCTGAAATGATTTATTTGAGTAAATAGTTTAGTAAAGATATAGTAAGGATTAGAAGAGGTCCTTTTAGACTCAAAATTGCCAACTAAATGCCATGCATTGTCCTGCAGCTATGCAGCTGTACAGGTAACTACATCCGATATCGGCTAATTGTACTGCCATTAACAAAGGACATTAATGGACATGAATAGACATGAATGGACAGGAATGAACACGAATGAGCATGAAAAGCACGGAATATGTCCATCTAATTTCGCGGTTCCATATCTGTCAGATGCAAAATTGAAAGAGCAGAGTGCCAAAGTGCCAAAGTGCCAAATTGCACGAAATTATTATGATTCATAATTTGTATGAGAGAGAGAGAGAATAGCATTGAAACGACCTCGGGCAGCATAATGACACTGTGGTGGGTTGTGGGTGGGTCTGGCCGGTGGGCGGTAGGTGGTCTTCCGCTTAAACAGTTGGTGTTTCTGGCATTTTCTGCCCAAATAGCCATTTTAGACGAATTTCAAAAACTAATCAACATATGTATGTAGACTTTATATCCAGCGGCATGTTTCGGATGAATATTTCCAATCAAAAATATCCATGGAATTAGAAAACTTGAATAAATTGGTCAAAATTATCCAAACTGGCTTTAGGTGTTAGTGTCGAAACCTATTCTAGCCTCATTCCACAAGCAGATATAAAAAATACTTTTATAAAAAATCAGGCAATAAATTATTTTGAATATCAAAAATCAATACAGTGATAGGGAAATAGGTACACTAGGTATATATCCTGCCTTAAATTCCGGTGATAATATTTCGGAAACTTGAAGGGAAGTTTTAATCGGCCACAATGCTATTCAAAATGCCCAGTGAGCTCAAGATTCTGACGACTTGTAGAATTCGTGAGTATTGAAGACACAAAGATCTCAGGAGTTTCTAAGGTTCTCTGAATCCTCAGATTCTAAGAGTGTCCAAGGTGCCACTTCAGGAAGTATTTAAGGAAACTGTCCAGATTGTGAAGACATGTCTTCTAGGCACCGTGAGTATCCATAAGGGTTTTTAAAAATTTCTCAAGAATATTCCACGGTTCAGATTTGTGATCAGCCTCTAGCAAGCCTTGGAGATGCCTCCTTCCATCAATTCAAGCTACTGTAGGCCTTCCCCTCTCACAAGTATTCAAGAAATGGGATCCTATGGGACAACTTCAGGACCAGGACACTGGAAAAAGTCGAGCCTTAAGCCTGGGAAAAACGCACAGTTCGAGAATATTGAAATGCATTCGATAACACTTCCCCGATCAGATTACGAGTGTGAATTTGTTTGGTTCCTGTATTTTTATATAAATTTTTAAAAAGGATTTGGGCTACATTTTGGTGTGGGACTTTAGGGATGTTCCAGGGAACTGAGGGGTTCTAGGCACTTCCATACTTTTAGAGTAGGAATCCAGAGGAAGTAGTTCTATTTGAGGTGGTATTTTAAGGCCAGAGTTATAAAAAGTGGCAGATATCATGTTGGAGATCATAACATATCATCATATTACATATATGCCATGTCATCATGTCTCATCATCGCATGAATCACCATCGTGCCTCATCTTATGGGGCATGATTTTAGTTTTAATTTTTAGGAACTAAAGCCAATGACTTGCAAATTTCCTTGATCTGCAGAAAATGGACATCAATCGGGATGGCGTGGTGACACTGGAGGAGTTCCTGGAGGCCTGTCGCAACGATGACGCCATTTCCGGGTCAATGTCCGTCTTCGATACAGCATTCTGACCATATCCGACCGACAAGGGCGACGAGTACACGGTGCGCCGCCGACGACGCAGTCGCAGTCAGCAGAGCTCCCAGAATCCACGACAGGATCATCATCTCAAGGATCCAGAAAAACGTAAGTCCAACCACAAGACGAAGAACAAGCAACAACAACAGCAACAAAAACAACAACAGCAACAGCAACAAGTTAGAAAAGCCCGATGCTGCCACATGACTCTGGAAATGGACGGGGATGAGAGCACCACCACTGGCACAACCACAACAACCACCACAACCAGCACCACCAGCGGCACCTCGGCGGCCACCGGAACCACCGGAATACTCGACTGTAAGCTGCTCAACAAGCGGAGTAATCTCTACAAAGGATACAAGGACGAGTACGACGATGATGAGGAGGGGGATGAGGAAGAGGACGATGATGAGGATGAAGACGAGGAGGAGTACTTTGTGTGCCGTCATTGCCGACGAAGTCAACAGTATCGCTCCACAAAGAGGTCACAGAGCAAGTCAAACACACGGCGGCAGCGCAGCAAGAGCAAGAAGAGGAACACCAGCAGCCAAAGGGTTAAGCCACAACAACAACAACATCAGCTGCAGCAGCAACAACAGCAGAGGCAGCCACACCAACAACATGGCCATCAAAGGTGGCCGGAAATAAATGCTGCCAATGAGCAGGCCATACGCTTCCGGTGTCCGCAGGTGGGGCCGCAGGTGGGTCGTGACCTTCACACGCCCCAGCCCATGCACTTCCATCATCCCTTGCAGTCGCAGTCGCAGACGCAGACGCAGTCGCAGTTCCAGGAGAAGATCAAAGCCAAAACCAGAAGCAAAACCAAAAGGAGAGGGGGTGGGGCTGCTGCAGGCGGGGGTGGCCACAAGTCCAAGGCAGTAGCACCACCACCACCACCACCCCAACCACTACCATCAGTAGCGCCCACATCACTGCCCCCCCTAGCATCCAACGAGCATGCACCCCCCCTGGCGCCACTCACCGTGAACGTGATGGAGCCGGAGGCGCCCCAGGCGGAGGCGGAGACGGGGGCGGAGCAGCCACTGCCCACCACTCCGGACTCGCCGTCGCTGGTGACAGTCAGCACCTGGTATACGGTTGCCAAGCAGGGTGTCTCCTGCTAATCACCCACCCCCCTAAAGCCCCCCCCCCACCCTCCGGAGGCAGTGAGTATCCTAGCACCGACTTGCCACCCACACTCCACCACCCTCCACCTCCAGTCCAGGGCGAACTGGTTCTCCGATGTACCGCAATTGTTGTTGTCCTTCCATTATCCTTTCGATATATATATGTACATGTATTCTATACCTATTTCAACTACATGCTCGTCTATATGTGTGTGTTCCAGGGTGGATCTCTAAAGTGGAGTGAGTCCAAGGATCAAAAATCATCAAAATTGTTTTTTTTTTTTTAATAATGACTAGAAAATAAAATTAAATCTTTATAAAAGCTATAATCAGACCACAAAGCAGAGTAATTGGAAAATAATAGAAACCAATATCGGAGATCGGAGATCCACCCTATAGTGTGTGTCTGTGCTTCTCGTGGACCTCTCGTAGGTCTACTTCCCCTTTGGAAATCATCTCTATTATTTGTAACTCTAGACAAGTGTAGAAACAAGAGTTTAAGGTTAAACTTTAAAGCGTAATGCGTTCTTTGTGTGTATATCGATCGATGTTGCAATCTGTCAAATGTGTTATAGTCTTAAATGAAATATATAAAATATAAAATCTAAATCTAAATAGAAACTGTAAGAAGGCGAGCAAGGCGATAAACTGAACCAACAAAAAAAATATATCAAAGATCCACATAAACCCTTTTTTTTTTTCTTTACAAACTTTTGAAAGGAGTATGTGGCCCAAAAGAGAACTCTTCGTAGAAACGTTGTTACATGTCCTAGAGTTAAATATATTAATTGACGTTAGCTGTGATGGAAAAAACCAAGTATATTACCTAAAAACCTTGAATAATATTAAATGTTGAAAGCAAACACAAACACCTTGGGTAAAATATATTTAATTATTTGTGTGCTCAAAAAAAAAAAACCTAACTAACTTTAACCCAAAACTTTGTGAAATGTGTGTGTTGTATGATAGTGTGTGTGTGTGTTTTTTGGGCAAGAATATATACTATAAAGAATATTGTATATCATAACTGGGGGTTTAATTTGAATATCGAAATATTATTGCACAAAAAAACAAACACTCTTGTTATTGAAATGCAAATTGAATGGAAGTTTCGCCCAGAAAATAAAAGGCCACATTTTTTCTCCTAATTGATGATGCTAAGTTATTGGATGAATTTAATTGGATGCTTTAGGGCTGAGAATTCCTAAAGTTGGTTAAAGTTTGCTGGGCGTTAACTTTTTTGGCCAACTGTTATTGCTTGATATGCTTTTGTTGTTGTTTTCATTATGCCACATTGGACACAAACCAAGGAAGGACATACAGACACACTACACACACACTCAGACACTCAAAGAAAACAAACAAGGATACGCATACGCATGGGAATTGAAATTGGTGAATGGCAATTAAAATATCTGCTTTCTTTCTCTTTCCATCTCTTTTTCTCTGTCTCTTCCTTCTCTTTCTCTTTTTCTCTTTTTTGTCTCTTTTTGTCTTTGTCTCTATCTCTGTTTCTTGATGGCTGGCCCAAACACACACACACACTATTCACACATACTGACATACCGCTTGCATAAACACCCACTATTGTATGCAGAAATTTGCATAGAAACGAAATGAAATGCGTAACGAGAACCACAACGCGAATCTGCCAAAAAATACAACAAAAACAAATACAAAACAAAAAAAAAGGATATATGTATGAAAAAAAAAGAGAGAAAAAATCTAGGTGCCGAATGTCCATAAATATCCAATTATGGGCCTGGTTTGTGGATCTGCATCCATTTTGAAAAAAAACATACTCCATTTTGATTGGGTTGCACTTAGAGGGTTAAATGCTAAGAGGCTGCTAAGAGAGCGTCCCACGTAAGTAAACCGGAAGCTGCACTGCTTGTCAAGATGGCATACCAGCGCAAGCAGTGCAGTGTTCGAAAACCAAGAAAATGAACATGTATGCTTATTACATACGAAACGAAAGCTTTACACAATGAAAACTAAAACTTAACTCTTAAAGATTTAACGAAACGAACCGAAAATTATAGACAAATTATAATTAGCAAAGAAAACTATATTTATACGATGGAAGGCAACCCTAGAGTCCCCTAGAGGCAGCGCAGGATCTGACCAGTTGAGAAGGAAATTAATGTTATACAAGCTAGAGGAATAGGTACATATATGTATGTATGTATGGCACACACCCCGCATATGTATAGCAATTTGTAGGTAAATGTGAAATGTGAAATTTTGTGGTGTCTAAATCAAAATAATGAAACAAATACGACTCTGGCGTAGAGGCACACTCTGCGTATGCGTAATGTTGAATGTATTATTTATAATTTTTGTTGTTGTTCTTGCCGCACAACAGTCTCCATTAGCAAATTAGTTGCAACTCAAACTGAAACTAATGATGGTGGCAAGATGAAATGTCATCAAGTCGGCCCTGTCGGCTATATATACATATATATACAAACGATATCTGCATGAATGTTAAGTGTAGGGGGAGAGTGTGTATGCGGGGAAAGCTGAAGAAAATCAAATGAAAATTGGACCACAGCAGCAACAACAACGGGCAGAAAAGCAGAAACAGAAACCGAAATGGAAAATGGAAACAAAATAAATATAAATATTTACATTCCATATACATACATATACATATACAAGGCATACAATATTTACTATTTCAGGTAAATTGGTGTGTAATTGCAATTTTTTGTAGCTAGAACTAAGTGTCACAGCCACAGGAGGAGAATGCATGAAAACTATTAGAGATACAAGTCAGAGCTCTGAATGAGCATCTACCTTCGGAAAAAGCGAATTCGTTGTACATAGTTAGTGAGTGGGTTTTTCATTTGCTTGCAAGTCTCAAGTCTTTCTCTCTATATTTAACTCTAAACTCAAAGTAATTGTTGCATTTTTAAACCCTATTTATATATATATATATAAATATATATGTATATACATGCATACACGTAGCTGTGTACTTAGCTGTAGTCTTCCAGAAAAAAACAAAACAAAGCCGAACTCGAACTCTAAAACCGATATGATGAAGTGAAATAAGAAACTCTATTCCACGTAGATTGAACCTGTAGCAAATCTTGTACCTTAGCCAAAAAAAACGAAAAGAAAACCACACCCAAAAAGCTTTCAAACTAACCAGAACAAACCTTACAAAATACAAAAAATATAACTAAATGGGAAACCAGCCGAAATACAAATTGTAAAACAATACGATTTCCTCTCAATGAGACGAAACTAGTTGACACTACGGGCTATAAAGACCAGGAACTGTATTATTTTTAGATAAATGTTATCAATGTGGCCCCGATCTCGATTTCGATTTCGATTCTGCCCTATCCTATCATAGCTATTCAATGTTACACCCTTCGAACTATTGGTTTCCTTCGAACTACCATACATACAAACATACATACATGATATATGTAAGTTAGATTCAGATCAGATCCGAACCAAACTCGATCCGACTCGATCTCAAGCACGACAATATCGAATACACCCAGGCCAGTCCAGTACTGTACTTACCTAGAGACATATAAAGTAAGACACCTAATAACCTCCCACCACCCCCAGCAAATCAGATCAGAACCTCTATTGCTCTCTCTTGCTATTGCCCGTCTTTCCCCGTCTCTATCTAAAATATATATCTCTCTATATATATCTCTATCTATTTATCTGTGTGTGAATTAGCAATCAAATCTAAATGCAAAATCTATTTCAAAAGCAAAAACAAAGTGTCAAATTTTCAAAGGAAAACAAAAACCAAAAAAAAAAACAAAAAGAATTAAACTAAATAGTAAACCAGAAGGTGGCAAAAGCAAAGCAAAGTTTAACGAAAAAAAAATTGGAGTATTGCCAACCAAGTTGCAAGTATTTTCCAGGCCTAAGCCTTAAACCAAATTAGACAAATTCTAGTAATTCTAAACAGATATATATACAGCCACAGATATATACACTAATAATAATAATTGTATAGGGTCCTGCTTGGCGCAGGACATGTGTGTTTTTTTCCTAAGTTGTAAGCCGTTAAAATCAAATTTTACCAAAAGAAAGCAAGCCAACCAAAATAGGAAATTTGGTAGTTTTCAAGTGGAATCACTAAAGTGTAAACCAAACAAAATCTCGTTTTAGAGACGAAATACTGGAAATCTGAGTCGCTACTGTAAAAAAAAGGAAGAAAAACCAAAAAAGATAATTGTATTAGCCACTTATTTCTCAGAGAAAACTTTATGGGGTATTAACTATACTAATTGTGCAGAAAAAATACATGTCATAGCTTAGGCCAAAAGCGGTACTAGAAGTTTTGGCCAGGTAATTGCCATTTAACTCCGAAATGGCTTAGAGAGAATTATATCAAAACCCAGAATTGTTATCAAACGAAACGATGGGAAAGTGCGGAAGGCGGAGAGCGGATAGCCTCGTTTTTAGAACCGAACTATGAGAATTTCAAGTGTTATCAATTGATCGCTATATGTATGTATATGTTCGAACTTCGAAGGAGGAGCTAGACGATTGAGTCGCGTTATAAACACAATTACAAATTAATTAAATTACGAGTATATACAAGGATATACTAATTTACTAGTTGTAAACATAGCTGATCTTTTTTGGTGTAAATTTTAAATGATAAAACCAAACGAACAAACTTTCCATGCAATAAAAACAAACACAATGTTTCAAAACTAAAAACGTCGTTTAAATGCTAAACTGCATGAACCAAAACAAAAAATTTAACAAAACGAAACAAAAAAAAAAAAAATACAAAAATACTTAATTAAAAAAAAGAAATATTTTTTTTGTGAAGTTAAAATATGTATAAAACGAAACTAAAAAAGAATATAATGAAAATAAAACGAAAAAATATACTGAATATATTGGGAATACTCTCTCTTTCTATATTTCTTTACTTTGAAATTGTAGGTATTGCTAAAAGGGTAAGTCGCAGATGTCCTTCCAACCTGTGGAATCCTCCTCTTGGCAGTCGAAGTTGATATTTTGAAGTTTAAATTTTAAGACATCCCATACCAAAATTCGTATATAAATCTCATTATTTTCACAATTTCAAGATTATAGAAAAACCTTACCGATCTTAGCACTTTTAGGACCTTAATTCTAAGCTTAAATCCTAAATAAGATAGTAGTCCTCAGAGAGCTAAGATCGGGAAGGTGATTGTACCATTATTCTTTGATTGTACCATTATAATCAAATATATTAATTAGCTGACAAAATTATTTGCATATTTACAGAGATTACATAGATACTGGTCCAACATTTTGGGTAGCAGACTATAAAGTAAGTAGTGGAACACTTTGCTAATCCTTGCAACCCTTAACCCAAATCTCTTTTTTAGATCATAAGAGGTCCTATTATTCTCCTTCTGGCAGTGAGTCCGGCTTGGATCGCAACATTTAATAATACAGCATCTGGTACTGCCTCTACTGGGACCCCATCTTGTTCTAAAAGAAATTCAATCGCCGTTTTTTCCTTAATGATGATAATGCTCTGCTTGGATAAAATATTTTCATCGTTTACAACCCGGAATGCATCTTAAGCTACGCTTCATCGATCTTGTTTTCTTGTTGGTTCTACATTTTCCGAATATCAATCGTACTATGTGATCTTATACAGCATTTTGAAGGAATTGCAATAAAACATTTAAAATTAGTCTAAATTGGTGTTTTCCTTAATGGTCAGTTGTTTTAATTTTCCAATCAAAAAAAAATGTATTATCCACTTTTTTTGAGCCATCAAAATCCACGATTGGATGCCAAGAACGTTGGAAGATCGAACCAGAAATGGGCTTTCGAGAGCTCACATCTCGGCCGTTTGTGGCCCGATCTGGCAAAGCTTGACATTTTCGATCAGCGTTCGAATGTCCACCGAACTGCATACCACGATTTTCGATATCGAACAACAAGAACAAGATATGGGCTCTAGAATCTCGGGTTTTTTCCCTACTTTTTCCGAATTTTCTTAAGTTTTTCCGTATTTATTATATTTTTTTCCGATTTTTTTCACGGTTTTCTGATTTTCCAGAATTTTCTTAAGTTTTCCCACATTTTACAGATTTTTTTTTTGGATTTGGATTCGTGGTGTATGGATGGCAGTTGGTGGATTTGTCTTTTAGAAACTGTTTTTTGTGAATAACTCGGCCGTTTGGCATCCAATCGTGGATTTTGATGGCTCAAAAAAAGTGGAAAAATACGGCCCATCTTCCTGGTTAACAAAATCTGGAATGGGCCAAGTTAACAAGGAATAGTTAACCAATTTTGCTTAAATATTTATTTTGAAAAGTTCATTAATTTATATCTCGGTCATTTTTCAACCGATCGGGAAGAAAAGTATCATTCCTGGATCTGGACTTTAATGTCCTTCGAACTGCAGCAATCCTCTAAAAATCCTGATCTACATCGTAAATGGTGATACCGATCCGATACTGGTGATGTTGGATTTCGAAAATCTGTTGATGCAGATCGAAGGAATTTCGTGTCCTGATTCCAAAATTATATTATATTATTTTTCCGATTCTAGAATGGAATTTAATTTGGAATCAGGACATGAACATCCTTCGATCTGCATCAAAGGATTTTCGGAATCCAACAACAAAATGTAGAGCGGAAATCATATTATGTTAAAGGATCAGCATCGTCATTTGCGAAGTAGAACAGGATTTCATTAGGATCCAATGTTGCAGTTCGAAGGATATTAATGTCCTGATCCTTGAATGGTACTTTGATTCCCAGAGAAAGCTCAGCCTTGCTCTGCGTCCTGGAAATTATGATGATCACATGGCTGTCCGTAGCCAAGTGCATTTCGGCATTTGCAGCTCTTGTCAAAATAGCCTGAGGTCAATTGATTTGTCGGCGGGAGACATGCCGTTTATTAAAGACAGAATGATGATATAACTTGGTATCTAGAAAGGGGAAAAATACAATAAGCACACATAGACAGCTTATTTATCATTATACTTAACTTTCACCAATGTTATCTAAAGTAACATCCTAGGCTCAAACAGCGTGTCGACACCAATTCTGCCCGGAGGCACTGCAGCTTTTCCGATACTAGTCCAGAAGCGAGAGTCCAGTTCTTCCATTGCAGGTGGAAGCTTATGGAGCACGGTGTCCAGTAGTCCTGCTTTCTTCAACAAGACTGCGTGTGTTGAAATTCAGAAGATCATCGATGTTGAAAAAGCTCGAACCGGTTATATGGAAAGTTTCAAAAAAGAAACGGTAGAAAGTAATCGTTAGATTTTTAAAATAAACAGAGGCTTAAATACTAACTGTAAAAAAAAATTAAAGACTATTTTTTACTGTTAGCATTTTGAGTGTTCTATTAATTATAAAACATATTATTAAATAAAAACTTAGTAATATTTAAAATTAATATTTAAAACAAGAAAGGAAAGCTAACTTCGGGCGGAGCCGAAGTTGATATACCCTTGCAGTTAAAACCGGATATATATCGCAAACATCGGATAAAGGTTGCCGGTCCTTAGCGAATATCCTCATAAAACCAATTAATTACAATAAAATATGTAAAAAAAATTCCCATCTTCAAAA